CGGTGGAGGCGGTGGAGGCGGCGACGCCGTGGCGAGGAGGCTTGCACGAGAGGGCCAAAGCGCTCAGGGAGATTAAATTAGAGAAAAACAACCGAAGTGTCGAGAGAGGGCCCCCCATCCTCCCTCCCCTGCAGAGGCGCCTGCGGGGTAGGCCATACTGCGCGCCCGTGTCGGGATGTGGCCTACCCAGGCTTTGCAGGGGTTCCAGCTCCCGGCCACGGTCCACACGCTTACCAAGGACAAAGCTCAAGGGGACTTTTTTGCGGTATTATTGTTTTTATTTCTCACTTCTATCCCACTGTTGTTTTGAATAACTAACCACGTCACGTGGAAAATGTCACCACTTCTTTGTGTCTGAGTTTTCAGTGAGATATGCCAAGACCCATATTTTATTCAAAAGAGCAAGGGGTCACAAAAACAAATACTGAGCCCCCATATCACCTCTGCCCTATGCCTATATACACTGTAAAAAATCAGTCTTGGATACGGAGCCTGTTACGGCGTTCCGTACTTAACTTTTGGGAGTGATTTTCAAAAGAGGTTCGGAGATTTACGGTGCCTGACCACCGTGCCAACGATTTTTACGTGGGCTAGCATAGGGAAGGGGGTACGGAACCCCGTAGACTCCGTACTCAAAACGGAAACTTTCGAATTAAAAATTAGCGGGCCTTTTTCCGAACATTGTTTCCGTACCCACAGTATTTTCACATAGGCTCTTACGACAGGAGGGTTTGGAACCAAAGGTACGGAGACGCCATAGGTTAAAGAAACGGTATATTTCCGTATGGGCGACCGTGATTTTTTACAGTGTATTTCTCCCTAAAGCACCGCCCTTTTCAGCAGAGCAGATCCTCCAAAAACGTGTACTATACTATACAGCAGTACCAGAACAAAAGTCAAGGTCTGACGAGAGCCGGCGGCACTACTGCGATGCGCGGGAGGCCCGCCTTATACCCTCCTGTCTCTGTTTCTCCCCCCCCCCCTTTCCCTCTCCCTCTTTCTCTCCCTCTCCAGCAGTGGCACTTCTGACAACCCATAGGTCAACAGGCAAGCAGTTCGGAACGCCGAGAGCTTTCTTAAAATTTCCCGCAGACGACGCCGCGCGACGCCACGCCCTGGGGCGGCTAACGTCATTGGTCGGAATAGAGGCTGACGGTGTCCTCGGAACGGCTACTGCCACGTCGACGTGAATATTCGCCGCGCCCCGCGGCCCCAAAACTCGAGCACTATAAACTCATTACGTAACGAGGTGTTGTTCGCTCTCCGCCGGGCCGGGCCGGGCCCGCTCGGGTCGAGTGCTAGACGTAGACGTGCTTTTGGTAGAGGGGCTGCGGGGCTTAATGAGACAATACTGGGAATAATAACCCAACATCCCCTAACTCTCTCCCTCTGTAGAACTAAAATGACGAGGTGTGTGTGTCATGTGTTGCGTGTTTTCGGCCCAAAAGCAGATCGCCATCGCCCTCTATCCTCTATATCCACCTCTCTCCTTCTCTCTCTCTCTCACTGATGCCCTGCACGTCACGTTGGCACTTCATACCTGCGCACAATGACGATAGGACAAAAGTTTTCCTTTCCGCCGCCGAGCGACCTTCACCGTGAACCATCGTGTGGGCTTATCAAGCAGCGCGTGGCTGAGAGAGACAGAGAGAGATAGAAACAGCGAGCGAGAGAGAGGGAGGGGGGGGGAGAGATTTTGGCCGTCGCTTCGCCCAAAGGATAAGAGAGCAATGCCAATGCCAATGCCAAGTAATCTCCGTAGGTCACTGTCAAAGGCAAAAGGCAGTAAAGGGCAGAGATATGAGAAATTCATTCGGAAAGATTCCCGGCGGAGGGCCGGCGCCCGGGGCGGGGACACCGACCTGGTTCGGAGAGTTCACCCGGTGTGCCCGGCGAGGTGCTCGGCGGTGCCCGGCCTGTAGCTGACCACCGCACTGCCCCAGGTCAGGTCGCGGGCGCCTAGTGGCTCCAAGGTGACCCCCACCTTCCACACCTCTTCGCTCCGCCGTCTGCCCCCCACTTCTCCTTATTCCGTCGCATAAAAATTAACAAATTCTCGGGAAACGCCAATACCGCGCCGACCAACCGCCGTCCGTCTGCCGGGGAGTCATTTTGCAGGACAGCAGATTTACTCGCACGACGTCAACATTTAGAATGTCTCCTGGTGATTTGAAACGCGAGGGGTTCATCGGAATTCCGACATCCGGTCGGCCATAATCTGAGGAGCCATTGGTGCGCGCAGAACGACGGATTCCCGCGGGATGAAGGTACACCTTGCGCAACGAGTCCTCCGGCCAAGGTCGGTGGTGCGCGCCTCGCCGCCAGGGACGCGGCGACCTCCACGTCGACCTTGCGTGGGGCGCCCACGGCGACGGCACGGCGCGGCGACCACGGCGACGACGGGGCCTCGAACAAGAGCGAGCGGTCCAGGTCCAAAGGTGTGCGGCGGCGCCCGACCTGGCGCTAGGCGACACGCGCTCTACAAGTGACGACGGTCGCCCCCCGCGAGAAGTACACACTAACTAGATTTATATGAACAAATTTAAGAAATCAAGTATTTTGCACACATTTTAGCGTTAATTTAAACACTTCAAATGTGCATTCATATGTACGTAATCTAGCAATTTTGCATACCGGCAACTACGACACACAATAAACAAATGTATTACAGAATTGTTATTAATATTTTTATTTATAGACTTGACTATGGTTCTAGCCAGGCTGCATGTGGCACATCTTTGACAGTTTTCGAATTTCTGCTGGCGTTTATCGTGAAATGTTTAGAAAAAACGACAGGAAAACCGGAATAAAGTTTAAAATAGGCATACGTTTTGGCTCAGGATAGGCTCTTGTTGAACAATCGACTTGACTGGAGTTGCTCAAGTTAAAAATTGTTCCTATTTAGGACGAATTACAAGGAGCAAGCTTGGGGTCCATGCGATTCGAATTTCACTCCGCATTCTTACAGCTACATAAACATCAGAATGATAACCCGCAGCCGAACTCCGCCACACCTGATCAGAATGCTGTCAGCTTGAGGGTTCTTTCAGCCACAGATGTGCGTTTTGGCGCTGAATAATCCCCCCACGGCGAGAGTGTGATGCACTTGCAGCGCCGGCGCCAGACTTTAGTCTCGTTATTGTCGGACACTTTCTGCGCGAGCGCGTGCCTCTCTTGCGTCTCTAGGCGCCGCGCGGCGCCCCGCCATATCGCTCTTCCGTGTTTCTCGTTGGCTGATTGGTTTGTCACGGCCAGTGTGATACTCCTATCCGCAAGGTCGCCCGTCTACGACAGTCTGCCGCTGCAGAAGGAGGCCCTGCCTGGTGCATACGCGCCCGGCGCGCGTTCCATCTTCTACTGTCACTACAAACGCGTCGCGGAACTCACGCGCACGGAGACAAACATGAAAAAAAGGCGGACGTTTTGTTCATTTTCTATGAGAGCGTGGCGCGACTGCGGCATGTGGTGTAACATGGGCTCTACTCGCTCCTGTCCCCACTCTCAATATCGTGCCCGCTTAGTTTTGCAGTCTTTTTCTACTGCCGACACTTTTTGGACAATTTTTGGCATCGTAAGAATCCCAAAATCTGACATTTCAAAAGAGGCCAAAACGAGTACAAAACAATGACAGTCTTTAAAAGAATGACAAAATGTTGGCAAGCAAAGCGCTTGGTCTGGAAGTGTTCAAAGTTGCCACCCTGGCCGCCTGGCCGCCCTTGTCATGGAGGCCTCCTCAGCGGGGCCTTGAAAGTTTTAGAAACTATGAGGAGTCTCTACAATATAGTCTCTATAGTCACTAAAGTCTCTAAAGTCTCTCTACGGCGGACCGCACCGCACACAACGACTGCATGGCACGTGCCCAACCAACACTGCACTTCCTCCGACTTCGTCACATCCGCTCAGACGGGTCATCCGCGCTGGTTCCGCGAACTGCTTTGCGCAGCAGTCGATAGGCCCCCGCCGGCCGCTCCGAGCGACGAGGACGAGGAAACGCGACGCGCGGCAACAGCCGTGCCCCGCCGCGCGGCGCTGTTGTCGAGGACGCCGTCAAGGAGGCGCCGGCCGCGGCGCAGCGTCGTGGACTTCGGGCGGGTCCAAAGAGGGCGCGCCGTTCCCGCAGCGCTACAGCTACGCTTCCATAAAAACCCTCCTTACCCCTTCCCGTCACTATCCTCCTATACACGACCTACTACACAACACATACCGTCGGGGAGTGGGGTGGGGGTGGGG